TATGGGAGATGTTAACTTTCAGGGTATAGACTGTGGTTAGGGACAGAAGTTACACATAAACTGGTTTAAGTGTTCCAAAACTGGTTTAAACCTGTAACAGAACAGAAGTTGTGTGCACATAAATCAGTTTTAAAATGGCTGAAACTGGTTTAAGATAAACCTGGTTGAATGTAGCATCAGACTACACTGATTTAGGTCAACTTGGTTTATGAAAATTCTGTCCCAGACCCCTTCCTGGTTCAAGTTAAATCACACTCCCTCAGCATCCCCGCATGTTTTGCCCTGCTGTCTGCTCCAAAGAGTAGGCTGGCCTCACCTCTCTGCTTACAAGCAGTAGCAGTGAGGGCTGGCTGACAAGGGGCTGGGGGTGGGAAACCCTGCTGGGGACCACAGCTCAGTCTGCTGGGCACAGCCCTTGCCAGACTTTTCCCCACTGGAATGGAGGAGATGGGGGCAAGGGATGGGATGTGTGAGGAGGGGAGGGGGCAACAGCCTTAGAGGGACTGCTTCAGGCTGGAAACCAGCAGACTCCACCAGTCCCCACCACTGGCAGGGACAGAGGCAAGCAGTTGATAAGGGGAGGGAGAGGGGGTGTAATTCCCCTCAGCTGCCCCAGGCCATGGGAGAGGGGGAAGAGGCTGGAGAACTGGGGCTGGAGGGACTGGTCCTCTGCCACCTGTGAGTGCTGGGACCTTCACTCCAACACCTAAGACCACCTGCTGATTCTCCAAGAAGGACTTTCTGAATACCTGGCTGAAAGGAAATACTCTGCTCTCAGGATTATGTAAGACTTATGCAAGGCTTTCTCTTCTCTTCTTGGTTTACATTTTAAGTTAGGCTAATCTGTGTGTGCTCTCGTTGTGTTTTACTGGGCTGTATCTTATCGTAGGCAAAGATTTTTGGTTGTTCTTTGTTGTGTGCTTGATGTTCCAAATTGCTGTGTTCAATTCATGCTCACTTCAGAGAAAGGACTATTTTTGTTCAAGCTTTTATGAATTCAGTGCCACTACCCTTTCCCCACTTATCCCCTCCTCAGCCTGGTGGGGCCTGCCGTCCCCACTCCTCAAGCAGGGATTGGGTGGTAGAAGCCTGGCAGGCACTGTACCCCTGCCCAGGAAGACATGAGCTTGAGTCCCCTATGGGCCAGGGAGGGAATTTAAATTCCTACCCTCTAGCCTGCTAGCCCTGGGCTAAGGCTTGGACACACGCCCTCTTCTTGAGTAGGGAATGGGGTAAAGCCTTGAAAGCCTTGGAGCTTCAGTCCCTTCCCTTTGGCAGTGGCTGGCAGGCTAGGAGCCATACTCTAGTGCCCCCCAGCATTTGACCTGAGCCACTGCAGGCATGTGGCTGCATTTCCTGAATCAAAAATGAATATCTGTTCATTTGCTTCTCAGTTTAATCTCTGCAGCTTAAACTAAACTGAAAAGACTGAATCAATTCAATCCTGAACTTTTTGACTGTTTGTACTTAGCCAGTAAGACAAATGCTACTAGTAATATTAGGGCCTACACATTCCTGGATGTGATAGCTAACACATTCCTTCACCAACTAGTCACTGAGTTAATGAAATATGATTCTATTTTACACTTCATGTTGGTAAGTAACAGGAGCCTTTTAAAGAAAAGGGATTAAGTGGACCCTTGGATTAAATGATGATTTGTTGAATCAGACTAAGTCTCTCTGTCACACACTTATATGGAGAATAGGAACAAATGAAGGCTAAACTTGAGTTTTGCTAACCAATCAAGAGCTGCAGAAGATGCTATATGAAAATTTGTTATTCCTCCAGGACAGAAATTTAGGGCATGTGTAGATGAAACGGGGGCCCTAAATTGAAGCAGTGGGCTTTTAAAAACACTGCTTCAACTTAGGGTGAAGTAAACCCCCATGTCATGTATACCTGTGTCTTACATGCCTCTCTGGCGGCAGGGAGAGGGAAGGGCAAGCTGCCAGTGAGCAGGGGAGGAGGGTGGCTGGTGCTTCCATCCACGGCAGTGACGGGTATCCCTCCAGGTGGCACCCACCCACAGGCACCCAGTTTGGGCTGTCCTGAGGGGCACTACAGCTGTGGAGTGAGGACTGGGTCCTTGCATAGCTCAAGCAGGCAGGCAGGCTCCAGGGGGGAAAAGAAAAAAGGATGTGGCTCTCCACCTTTTTTTTTTTCCTTCAGTGGAGTCTGTCTTCCCAGGCTGCTGCCAGGCTGCCTGCACGGGCAGCCTGCACAGTCCCTGAGCCTCTTGGAGCCTGGTGCTTCACTCCATGTCTGTAGGGCAGCAAACTTAAACTCCTCAGAGGTGTTTTAGTTTGCTGCACCCCAAAGTAATTTAAGGTGCATTACACTACCAAATGTGCTACAGTGGCTGCAATTAATGCACAATACACCACTGACACATTCAAACCCCAACACCATTAAAGCAGTACAAAAGCATTTAACCCACTTTAAAGTGCCATGCACACATGCCCCTCATTTTGTCTATACACGCCCATATCGAACAAACATTTAGTTAGCTATTTGAAGATTACCACTGTCACAAAATACAATCCTTTAATTGTTGCTTATGCAACAGGTACAAATATCTGCATTGTGAATTCCTGGTTTAATTAATGATCTGTAAAGGTTAAATAGGAAAAGAAAAGATCTGTAAATAAGGTTTTCATTTGAATTTGAGGAAGAACTCAGATGTGATGGAGACTCAGAAAAGTTATTGACCTTTGGTTTTAAGGCATCAGAGAAGGAAGAAGAACATGTGGTACAACACGTGGGTGTTAACTAGCCATGACATTTAGGCAAAAAGTTAGAAGGTTTTTTTTTTAACTCTTGTAGGAGTAAGGTTTTTGAATAGCTTTCCTAATGGAAGAGTAGGGACATGAAACCCAATTCGTTTTAAATTGGAGTTTGATTTGCATGTGGATCGGGTTATCTGATCTGGTGGCCTCTGATAATGCAGGACTGCAGTTGATATCCAGCCAGTCCCTTCCAGTACTATCTTCATAACCTTTCTTTTTTAGACATGAACCCTAAAAGTTATCCATTCCTTTGTTACCTCCAGCCTGGACCCGAATGCACTTTCCCAGGGCTGAGTACCTCTAAAACTTGGATTTCATGTTCTGCTGCTTCCTTTACTTGTTGCTGCTTTTTGCATGGAGCATTTAACACAAGTACTCCACAAACATAACTAATTTCTAGCTGCTTTCCAGATCATGCTATGTGTTTGTGCAGCTCTGAGCAGAAGGAGAGCCCAATCCTGATTAGTATCACTATAAAAGTAATAATTAGCAAAATAATAATAAAAGCATAAGGTGTGCATTCTAACCTTTCATGTTCTTTATGCCATGTGTCCTTTATATCTGAGACCCTGAATCAGTTGACCTTCAGGTCTCACAGAAAACTTCATTTATAAGAGATATTCTGCTTTACCCTGAGGAAGTGAGTTGAATACAAAAACCTCCTGTTTTTTGTGTTAGGAAGTACTCTTGTGTTGAAATTTGTGCTGACTTTGAACTATTTTGCCTTATGCTCTTTTACAGACCGAAGTGGTTGTATACCAAAAGACTGATGTTAAGTAAACTGTATGTATTGGAAACAAAATTTAGAAAAGTAGATATATAAGCAACTTTAAAAGATAAATATATGTATAACTATTTATAATTTGGTTTAAATATTTACTTCAGCAGAATGGTTCAGCTTCTAAAAAGACAGAAATATTTTCAGTTCTACACAGCAGTGAAGCATTATGAGGAGAAAGGAAGGCATATCGATTAATTAGACAGTAGTGTCAAATTTTAAAATTCACTCCTGGGGATGAAGTCTCACTGTCTCACAACAGCAGTAGGTCTTGATTTTGATTCACACATTTGTTTGACCTTCATAGTATGGGTTTCTTAACAGTGAGACCAGCTCTCTGCAATTTCTTATTTGACCTTGAAAATATAAGGGTCTGTTCCAATAAGTGCAGAACACCTGGAACTCTTCCAGACTGCCCTCAGACTTCTAAGTGCTCGGGAGCTCTTGATCTGACTGGATATTTATAAGGACTCTCAAATAAGACAATTTGCCAAGTATCAACAAAAAAGGTACTAAACTTTAGTACACACACACACACACACACACACACACACACACACACACACACACACACACACACACACACACACACACACACACACACACACACAGAGAAAGAGAGGGAAGAGTAAAACAGCATATTTCTTAATTTTGCAACATGAATACATTAGAACTATTATCTAAGTCAATTCCAGTAGAGGGAAGGCAAATCTCTCTTAGTTCTGCCTATCCGTATTGCATAAATCCCTGGGCTTTCTTTTTACAGGATGACCCTCAACAACTGAAGCTGGGACTGAAAAAACAGCTGCATTGTACTGCAGACTAAAATTCTGCTACAGCTATAAGCCTTAGGATTCAAATGAACCCAACAGAATTATGCAAATGGCCAATATAATGTATTTTGTGAATTAGAGCTATGAGGAAAGACATATTTCTTTTCTGGTAAGCTACTTCTTTTCTGATCTTTGAGTTGCCTGATTCTGATTTCATTTATACTGTGTCTTTTTAAGTAATGATCAGCCATTACAACACTTCTGTGGTGAGAATATTTGCTGTGTGTCAGCCTGAACTCAAATTTATTCTACAATAAAATAAAGGTATCTAAATCTATTGCAGTTGCTTATTACTTCAGGATGCATGCTGTTTTATTTTAAAATATGCCATCTCGTACTCACAAATAAATGCAAGGTTGCATCTTGATTAAACTGCTCTTAAATATACTTAAGCACTTCAACTTTCATTTTCCAAATGTCTTAAGAGTATAACAGTGAAACACAACAGAAAAAAGAAGGAAGGGTCAGTAGATATTAACAGTGCAAACAAAAAAAGTCAATGCAGCAAAACTAAAAATTAAAGAACATTAAGCACAGCATTATCTCTCTAAGGAATCTGAATAACTTGATATTCTCTGTTGAATATTTCTATATTTCCTTACCTTGGATATGAATAATTCTTTCATGGTCCAGAGTATAGTTGCCAATGTGAGGTTCAGCACAGCAGATAGAAATCAGCACCAAAAAAAGTAGACTCTTCATCTTTGATAGCCAAAAGAATCTTCTTCACTGTGAAGACATTGCATACAGAGAGGCTTGTGAAATTTGGAAACATTTACAGTGTTGCAGTGCACAACTTGTTACAGCCATATGATCTGATAATGGGTGTATAAAATATTTAACCAACTGAGCTGATAATGTTACAATAGCGAGTAATATTCAGAGCTAAAGACTACAGCTGTTTAACATTGGATTTACTTGTCTTGTATTAAATGAAACTGGAAATGAAATAATATTTATCTATGCAGAAGTACAAATATTAAAATATAAAATGATGCACAGAAATATATACACATCTTAGTATATGTATGGTAAATTATAACCACCAACTGTGTTTCGAAAAATGTTTTAGTGTACTTTTGATTTTCCAGAACTACTCCAGATTTGGTTTATTAATGAACTAACACCAAACTAATATAGATTGTATCCATTTTTGTTGTATAATACAATCCAGTTGTAATGGATTGCATTATCCTTAGCAATTAAATAATACCTTCAGAGCTTTTGTCATTTTAGTCCAGGCTACAAGTTAACAAACAGGGCATTAAGTTTCCTTGATCTAAGCAGAAAAGATGACAAAATATTTCTCAGGCTGACCAGAAAAGGTACATTTTATTTCAGATGCACTTACCATTTTAAAGAGTGCCTAAGTATACAGTGAAATGTTGGAAACCATGCACAAAGTAGGTTAGAGTTGTATATGCTACCACTGCAGTTGCCCTGATTGATTTTTCATTCATTTCTACCTAGAATGCTGACGCACTAACTTAGTGTGCCAGGTAGGGTCTCTGCAGTCAGCAGAGCTGAGCGCTGCAGGGAAAATCTCTGCCAGCCTCAGAGTAGTAATTAGGCAAATGAAGACCTGAAATAGATAAGGAGGCATAAAATACAAGAGGTCTTATGCAGAAGGTTCAGGCTTATGTGCTCTTTATAGCAATCATATTAGTGACAACGGATTCTCTAAATAAAAAGAGCATTCTCCCAATCTGTGCCTTTAAGGAGGCTTGGGTTGTTATTTTTATCTTCAAATAATGCAACTATTAGTAATATTGCTGTCTTGCTAATATAGAAAACATTTCATTTTCTCTCTCTTGCTTACAGCAGAGATAGAAAGGAGTCTGAACCAAATCGCCACATGCATGCACCTCCAAACTTAGGAAGTGCTTGTAATTGGAATGAATCACAGTAAACCAGTCCTTTAATTCAAAGGACTGACCTTTTTCAAATCCAGACTCAAATGGTATAATTTGTAACCCTCTCTCTCAGAGGCTAAAATGCAGAAATAGGACAATTATGTTTTATCCTATGTTTTTATAATAGAACTTGTATGTTATTTGCCTGTACCTCCATTTCTTCAAAAATGCACAAGTTGGCATTCACACTTGGTTCATTGTCTTTGCAGATATTTATCTACAGACGATGTAAGTAATACACATACTTTTTTCTCGGTGGTTCACACTCTGCATCCCAAACATCTGTGGATATTCCCTCTTTCTTATAATGCTTAGCATAACAGTGACCTCCATATGACAGAGGAAGGACAGATGCGACTCCCCCAAGAGCCTATCAACACTAGTTTACCCTGGAGAGGTCACAAAGGAGTGTAGTGAGATGTTCTCTTTTAAGGGACTGCTGATCTGGCAGTTTGAGACATATATGAGAGCACATGCATAGTGCCACACTCCTGCTACAGAAACCCTGAGCCAGCCACCTGATCTATTTTGCCTGCTAGGAAAGCACTCTAGTTATTGTTTTTGGCTTAGAAGGAGACTGATGACTCACATATTCTTTTATGGGGAAGAGTGTTAGCAGGTCACCAACAGCCTGTCATGTGTTTTATTTTTGTAATAGACTTACACTGTTTCAAAATGGAGCTCAAGATTCTCAATTTTCAGTACAATCCACAGCCCTGAGCCACATGTAGATGTAAAAGCTCCTGAACACAGTAAAAACCTTGTAGTTCAACAGGGATGGATGCAAACTGGCCCAAAATAAAGTGAACTTGGACTCTAAATACCACTTGGCAGGTATGTTAGTGCTCCTCTGCCCCCCCCCAACCCCTGCCTTAGCACTTTATCTCCATCTCATTGCCATGGTCCTGCTAGCACCTGAAGGTCTTAGTGAAAAGAATTATTTACACAGCCTAGTTAATAGGTCCTAACACCACCGTTTTGTGGACAATGCCCTGTTTCACTGGCCCCTGTGTTTAGGGAGATGGTTGTTCATCGCAGAAGGAAAATTTAACTTCCAACCACTTGAAGGCAATGTTCAAATGTTTCAGAGATTTTGCCTGTGGATATCTAACTCCTATCAGTTGGACTTCAATACCTACTGGAACATCTAATCAAATAACTGATAGGTAAACTACAGAAATACAGGATAGATGAAATTACTATAAGGTGGGTTCCCCAGTGATGGAATAGAACTCAACAAGTATGGGTTTATGTCAAACTGGAAGGCGGTATCATTTGGGGTTCTAGGCCCAGTATTATGTGATATCTCAGTTAAGGTGAGAATGGAATTGAGCATTCATTTAGTGAATCTGCAGGTGACACCAAACTGGAGTAGCAGACCTATTAGAGGACAGGATTAAGGTTCAAAATAACTTTGATAAAATGGAAAAATTAACAGAATGTACTTAAACAGAATTAAATTAGAGTACAGCAACAAAAAATTATTAGAGGCTAGAAGATATGACATACAGGGAAAGGCTGGAGAAATTGGAGAAGATAAGCTATCCAGGGGGAAAAAAAATGTGGAAAAAAAAATGGAGCAACACATGCAGAGACAGGACACGTGGCTGGAAAGCAGAGCTGAGTTGCCCAGAGCCACACTCTGGCTGCCAGCCAGGTTCTGTGTGGCAGGATTGCCACAGCTGCAGCCCCAGGACCCCAGGTAAGGCTGCTGGAGCCAGCACTGGGCTGGCTTCAGACTCCCCTACCATCGCTGGGGTAACTTGCCATATGCCAAAGTGCACATGGCATGGGTGTTCCACGGGGACAAGTAGCTGAGGTGCAAGGTGTACCACTGCTATTTGTCCCTGGGGAACCAAACGTCTGCACTTGTCTGGATGCAGCCTTGAAGTCCTTTCCTGTTCTATTCTTTATATTGTCTTAGTATGGCAATATTATGAAGGCATGGCCATGGAAAGAGTTCCTTGCATTTAGTTACACTTGGGTCACTAAGCTATAGTAAATGGTGCATTAATTTTAAAAAATGAAAGAAAGCACAGATCCCGTTTGACTCTCTATTTGACCCCTGAATTCTAAACAGAGCCTTAAAGGGCATGTCTACACATGTGGGCATATGCACTTGCAGTAGCTCAAATAGCAAATTTGAGCTGGAGTTCTGTACCTCAGCACACGTGCCTGAACATACACTTTGGTATGGGGGAAATTGGGCCACTTGTGGTAAACCGACCCTGCCCAGCTCCTCCTGGATCTGCAGCCAGGGAGAACTGAAGGCTGGGGCCAGCACCTGTGCTGGTCCCAGCAATATAAAAAGCTGCCCTAGTGAGCAGCTCAGGGCTACTTGCTCTCAGGAGCTTCTGATGCCTGGCCAGTTGGTATCTTGGGACACTTGCCTCTGTGTCAGCTGGACTGCTGAAGCAGCCCTGACCTAGAGTGGCCCCTGTACCCTCTATCCACTGCAGCAGTCTGGCAATGGGAGCTGCTGCTTGGCTGTGACTTGCTGCCACCTGAAACAGCATCAGCCCCCTTACACCTACTGACTTCATTTAAAAATTGCAAATTCTCTGATAAAAAATTCCAAATTCACTCTTTAAAATACCCCAAAATCATGGACAGAGAGAGAGAGAGATCAGTTGGGCAATGTTTTATTATATTTACCATTTTAAAGCAATTTGGAAGCCTACCAATGCCTCTGTCATCATAATAAAATAAATTCTAAATATCTATATGCTTTGGTGTTTGCTTTTGGTTTTTTTATTGTAGACAAATCAGAGCTGTCCCTGACCCCTTCACTAACCAGGATGTAGGGCATAGGCGATGTGTAGGGGAGGCACAGAGGGGCACGTGCCCCTCCTGAGATTGGCCTCCACCAGATTCTGTGGGTGGTCACTGCCCCTGCCCCCACCAGCACAGCTGGTGGCGGCTGTGAGCAGTTCCCGCTTGCTGCTCACTGTCACGGTGCCGCCCCAGTCATGGGAGGCACCAGGCATTCATGATATGGGGACAGCTGTCCCTGCAGGTCCCATCTGGTCTGGCAGCTAGGCTTGCAAGTTGTGAGGTATAGGGGGATGTGGGGTTCTTGGGTGTGTATGTGGGGGGAGTCCATGGGTGGGTGTGGGTATAAGGGGGATATGGGGTTTGTGGGTAGGTGTGAGGGGGTGGGGGACATGGGGAGTGTGTGTGGGTTGGGGTTGAGGAGGATATGGGGAATGGCAGGAAGTGTGGGGGGATGTGGGGCATGTGGGTGGGTGTGGGGTTTGTGGGCACGGGGTTTGTGGGGGAGGTTTGAGGGGGGACAGCCACAGGCCCACTCTCCCCTCCCCCCATGGCACACAGACCCTGGTGCTGGCAGCACTAGTCAGCTGGGCTGTTGGGGCCATGACCCACTGCAGGCACAGGCCCGAGACGGCATGATGACTAACATGACTAACCCAAAGCCTGAACATAGAGAATGTAACTGGCCTGAGCCAACCTAGCCAGGGCTGGGCACCCTGCCAATGCATGCCTTTGGATAGGACCAGGATGGCTCCTGCCACCACCACCACTTGCAGCTCCTGTCTAAAGGTGCACACTACTGGGGGGGGTTGGGCTGGGCTGGGCTGGGCTGGGCTGGGCTGGGCTGTGCTGGGCCAGCTCTGTTCACCATATGCAAATACTGGATCAGGTGGTGCTGCACTGCTGCGGGACTGTGCCTGCAGTGGGCCATGGCCCCGATGTCCCAGATGGATGCTGCTGCCAGCGGGGTTGGGGCTGTGCACTGCAGGGGGAGGCTAGGGTGGCAGGCATGTGACAGCCCCCTGTCAACCCCTCTCACAAATC